AATATCTTAAATATTAATTTTCAATGTTAGTCACTGAAACAATGTATTATAATTTGCTCAAAATCTACCCCAAATTATGCTGTAGCAATTATATAGATATACATGTTCACAATCACAATAGTAGAATGTTTTTCACTGTTTAAAGATGCAAAATCTATTTAATGATTTTGCTTTTTATAGATCAGAACTGAATGATATGCCAGCAAATAGTATCTGTGATGTTATTGGCGTTTTAGTTTTTGTAGGAAGGGTCCAGCGGTCAAAAAAGAAAGGTAAGCTTTTAAAATTGAAAATCATAAAAGTTATTTCAGTGAATAGTTCTGTGTTCGTATGTGCATAATCAGTTACGTTCATTTATTCTAATATTCTATTCATATAGAAAGCCGTGAAGATTTTTGGTCATATCGCTGGATTCACATTGCTGACGGGACTTCAGAACAACCTTTTATAGTGGAACTGTTTTCTACGTCTCAGCCAGAAATCTTTGAAAATATTTACCCAAGTACTCAGTTTCAATAATTTTATCTTTTTATTTTCAGAAGTGGGGGCATTAACTTAAAAAAATTGTAGAGTAAACTGACTTACAGAGTGGCATGATATTGAGTTTGCAAAGTTAAGCGGTCTGTTAACATGTTTAAATTTTTTCTATGTTAATATTATATTTGGTATTACAAATATTAACCACGTTCTGGTTTTTTTCTATTCAGAATTAATTTGGGATTGAAACCAGCTTTTTAGAAAACCAGCTTTGCTCTTATCAATTCTCGTTGTTAGCATTTCAGACATAAAAGCTTAAGATTCAGTGAAACTAAAACATAGTCAATTCCCTTTGTATCCATTTTGGAATTGACTAAGTAGACTCCATTAAAGACAATGAAGTCATTACCAATGTAGAATTAATTGGTAGAGCATTGGAAGACTGTATAATTAAATAATGACAATGGTAGGTATGATTCCATTTGAGTATTAAATTAATATTAGGTTGGTGGTGTTATATCAGCTGGTCAATGTTTTACTTACTGTATTGTTGATATGCCCTATTATAGATTTTATATACAAGTTAGTCTTCACATATATTATGAGAAGAAAAAAAGTATATTTAATACTTTTTAACAACTTCAGTGAATTTTTCCTTATTTGAATTTGTAGTATAAAGCTATTTTAGATATGGTGTGCTATTTTACTATTTTCCAAGTGATTATGTGAATGAAATACTGATTGTTAAATGCTTGCCAACACTGGGGAAACTCCCAGTCTTGACTACATGTAATTTTTTTTTAATCAGCAACAAGATAGAAATTATAGATCATTAGGAGACCTAGAGACCATATACTGGGCTGTTCTGCTACCCCTTTTTTCTCTATTGCAAAACAATATTACACGCTAGTCAGATATTGCCTCATTAGATTCTACTCTCTGCTTGTGAGGTTAAATTTTTTAAATATTTCTGAATAGAACTGAATTTCATCCCTATTAGGGGAGAGAGCAGAAAGAGTTTTGGCCAAAACCAGGGCATGGGGCTTCCAGGGTGAGTGGGACTATGACTTCTCATATAACTTCTCTCAGGGCATAAATGATTGGTAGTAATTCCATTCCTCTGATGACACTTCATTACCTCATTTTAGATGGGTTTTATGGCCAGGTCTCTCTCTCTTCGTAGCCACTTTAAATGACAAGCTGACACAAGTTTTGGATAATGATTTTTCACAGAATGTTGCCAAGCATGCACATTCTATTTCTTGTGATAATGTGAAAAATATCTTTCTATCAAAGGTTTGTACAGATCTTGGTGAGATTTACTCTAGTACAATAGTTGACAGCAATCACAATTTATTTTCATCTTTTGACAAAGAGTAAAGGGAAAAAAAATCATTAAATGAATGGTGAGTATTAAGGGGGCTTCAGGCCTATGAAGGGAAACATGACCAAGGGTCTTCTGGAATAATACCAGAATCCTTTAGTAGTAGGGCATCATTTTACTTTTGATTAAGGAAAGTAAAGAACTAAGAGGAACTAATATTGAGTGTTTACTATGTACCAGGTGCTCATAGATGTTATCTCATTTTGTACTCCCAGTTACCTTTTAAAGAATTATTGTTTTTACAAATTTACAAGTGAGGAAACAAAGGTCCAGAGGGGTTAAGTAATTTCCTGGATGTCAAACAGCTAGAAAGTGTTAGGTTTGAATGTGTGATTTTTAACAGCCATGAAATTAGAATTAGAGGTTTTTTCAATATTCTTATATCAACTTCTTTAACCATGAATACTCACCTATTTGTACAGTTTTTGAAATAAAGGAAAAGCAATACAAATTAAGAGAATTATTCTTAGTCATTTGAACAGATTTCTTTTCATTGCTACAAAATAAAGAACTAGTAAACTGAGATATAAGAAATGAATTTATAGCTATTAGCATGCTCTAGGGAAATATTTATTCTCAAATGAGACCTTACTGTTCTTGTGAGATTACAGGTATTTACATTTATTTCTTCATTTCCTAGTTTGTAAGACCATAACTGTTTTGGCATGTGATGAGTTAAAATAAAAAAATATTGTTGGATTAATGAAATTTTACCTCAATAACCTGATAAACAGTTAAAAACAATTCATAGCTTTTGAAAGTAATTGAAGTCTGAAGACATTATAATCTCATTTTCAGGGATTCTTTTTAGTCTTAGTTCGTTAGCAAGGTGAACAGAAAAGAATAGGTGGTATAAGCCTTGTCACTGAGGCTTAAAGTCTAATTAAGATAAACACATGTAAAACACTTGTATAAGCAAATTCAAATTAATACTGTATAGCCCTATCTGGTGAAAGGAGTCAGAGTAATTCAGGGATCAGTGTTAGATTGGGTTAATCAGTGAAAGCATCATGGAGACTAAGCTTTTTACTCTGTAGGAAATAACTGTTCACACTCAGTTGTGTGCCTGATTAGAAAGAGTCTTGCACTCTTCAACTGTGCAGCAAGCAGTGACTTCAGTTAGGTGCAGCTGTTGTAGTTTCTAAAGGAAAAGTGTTAGATCCTTTATCTAAAGGAAAAGGTAAACGTTAAGTCCTTGTTGCTCCAAGTGTGGTCAAATGACTAGCAGCACTAGTATCACCTAGGGGCTTATTAGAAATGGAGGATCTCAGGCTCCGCCCTAAAACTACTGAATCTGAATTTGCATTTTCACAATTGTTCCAGGTGATTTCTATGTTCATTAAAGTTTGAGAAGCACTGTGTTAGATCCTGATCTTGATATGTCCTCTTTGAAATGCAGAAGTAATTTCATAAGTGTTTTCATTTTCTACAGCGACATGTTTTATGTGTACACAGTTGAAAGTTGTCAGAAAGGACACTCAGGTACCTAAACTGCTTTACCTCACCACTACAAATGAGAGTCGAGTGTTTATTGCTGGTGAGCAATTTCTTTGTGTATATTTTATTGGAAATGTAATATATTTTCTCTTCATTAAATTAACTTTTACATTACAACAATCAACCATAAGATAGCTTTATTTTGACCTCCTTTATCCCTATAAGAATGTTTTAACAAAGAATATTTAGCCTATGAAATATGTTGCTTCTAGATTATTTATAATTGAAGCAATGACTTTCTGAGTCACTGGGGGATTATGTTTATGTCCTTTGGTTAATTTTAATTCCTGCTTGATATAAGGTAGATAACCATAAATTGCTTGATAGAGTGAAGACTGTTAGGCCCTATATCACCTTATGGATTCAATTAACAATATTTTAAAATGCTAAATAAAACAAAAATGTGCATCCAATTTTGGCCCCCAGATCTCACATTTTACTTATATAGCTAAAAGAGTCTCACTACTTGTGTACAAGTACATTGTTTTTCTGCATTCCCTCTGATAAAGGGATCAAAACAGTAGAGATAAAACTTTCCAGATGAGTGAGGGAATAGTGTGGAATGGTCTGTTTACTAGAATGCTACCATGTTGGTAATTAGGATATTTGTCAAAAGAAGAGTCCTAGGAAGAATGTAACACACAGATTTGTCAATACCTCATTTTGTAAATACTAATAATATTAGACGTAAATATGTACTAAAAATATCAAATGTAAATGGCACTTTTAAGTATGTTAAGAACATGAATTTAAAGCTGAGCTATATCCATAGACAATTTAGTTCATACATGATGTCATACCTTCAGGTTAATACATGATTTAAAAATCAGTTTTTTAAGAAGACGCCAACCATTTGGATAGTTAGAAAAATCCAGATTATTAGTTTTATTTTTCTTATGGCTTTTCAGTATCCTGTTGACAGCTACAGTTTAGTCCACTTAAACTCTAATATGTCTGATTTCCTTCTTAAGTTAGCATTTGTTTACTATGATAATTTTTGTATGCATATTAAGTATAATTATCTGCTACACAGTGAATAAGTAAATGACTTCTTTTCTTGGTGACATAAGAGACTTTTAATATTAAACTGTTTTTATACAAAAAAAATCTATACAGTTTTTTATAGTGAGTTATTTTTTTATTTCTCATTTTTTTTGTGCTTTACCCTTCTTGCAAACAGGTCATAGAGGCCAGCCGTATGCCAGCAATACCAAGGTAAAAAAGTTTATTCAGTGGATTAAAACAAAGACTGATTCTGGAGAACTGAAGAATACTGTTATTGGTGGCTATTACCCCTATCCACCAGTGCCAGAGACGTTTTTGAAGTACAGTAATTCTGTTAAAGGTACTAATGTAATTGCTATTCCTTTATGATATGTTTATATGCTATATGTATGGTATATGCTATATCAGTTATCTTTATATTCTTTTATTTTATGGGAGTGAACCAAAGTGTACCAGCACTCACTGATAATAATTTTGTCTTTATGAAGACCTAAAACTACATCATCCCTCCTAAAGGTTAATATTTTGATTTTGTTAGACTAGGAGAAAGAACATAGACGATGACTAACTGGAGATAATATCTTGATTTAATGTCATTGAAATCAAATCTCACCTTGGTAGATCCCAACTCCTATGACATTACATAGAGAGACTAGAGATATCAAAGGAGACAATTTGATATCAAGCTACTGACAACTGTATTATGCTACTCTTGTGGAATGATATATATTGGATATAACACAATTGAGCACTACCTTTAAATAAAAATGACACCAAAATAAATTAGATGCATAATAATACTGATGATAGGCCTAATGTTAATTTATTTGAGAAGAATTAAGATATGACAGTTGAAAATTTTAACATAAGTATATTATTTTTTTAAAAAAAACTATGGGATAATTGCATGATTTTGGAAAAAAAGAGAAACTTTGAAAATTGACCCATCATCATCTAAATATTGGCATCCTCTTGTACTTCATAATGTCAGGAATGTGTAGTATATGGTTGAAAATATTAAGAAGTGTGTTTCTATGCAGTGGCTAGGCAACCCTTTATAGTTTGAAATATGATATATAAATTACATTCAATATGTAAAATTTCTGTTTCAAATTAGAACTCCAGACTGGAAGACTGTATCACAATTTAACTTATAAATATGTTTTGCCTATTTTACAAAAATTACATAAGGGGATGCCAAAAGTCTCACAAATTTAAGTTATGTAGCAAGTTTATAATTTCATGTTGTGAAATTACATTGCGAATCTAATTCTTATTTTTATCATTTCAGTTCTTCAAAACTTACAATTTCCTTGGAATTACTCTTTTGCAGTTGAGTCGCTCCTGACAGCCATAAGTGAAGTGAGGAAGGAGGTTGAAGACTTGCAGTATAGGGAACAGAAGCGCATTGCAATTCAGGGGATAATTACTGCTATAAAGTATATCCCCCATAGCGTTCCAACTGAAAGAGCCTCAGCATCAGAAACACTTCGGGTATGGTGCCAGAGAATTAATAGTATATCTCTGGAAGCACTGTGATCATAATTACAATTGGTACCTTGTACATTTTATTCAGAACTCACATGTATTGATTCTTAATGATGTAAACCTAAGAGAAAAATTCATTTTTGTTTATTTGTTTCATTTTTCTGTCATTTGTTTTGGAGCAGGCTGGGCTGAAGGTCCTCAAAACTTGGTATCTTGTTTTTGCTTTCAGCCAGGTGGTATATATGATTATATTCTTTTCCTACCTTTTGGCCAGGCCAGAATTATAGGAACACTTCCACAGGAAGTTTTTACCTCTATATCTGGTATGGCAGGTATATACTCAGGGTCTCTGAGAGGTAGCAATGACTCTTGTAGTATAAATGCTCTAGTAGAAGTAGCCACGTCTGGAATCTAGGCACAATCAAAACAAATAAGTTAATTTTTCCATGAGTTTATCTTTTTAAAAATTATTTCTAGGATTACTATTCATATGGAAATAAGCATCTAATCCAACTTTTCGGTTATAGCAATATAAGAAGGACTTTTGTTTATCTTTCTTTTAAAAATATTTTAATAGCAGGTGGATTAGGTTAAATCATCTTTATAAAAGCACTGTTATGATTGCAAAGTTTTGTCACTACTCTTAAGATTATTAAAAATGGGTAAACTAAAATAGTAGAGTCTTTTAAGAGAGAAATAATTATTGTTAATTAGTTTAAAATGTTTTCTCTAAATGTTTGGTTTTAGAATGCTAACGGACCCTCAACATCCCAGGCAGCTAGACCAGAAAGTCAGAGTCAGGAAAGAGATAGTAAACAGCGTCAAGACGATGGTCCTGTGAGTTCTCAGGGTTTTCAAGCTACAAATACAAGTTCGAGTCCTGCCAAGAAAAAAAGAATTCTGCAAGGGCCATATGCCAAACCGTAAGTCATTTGTATTAAGTATATACGTGGCATATTAATTTTTTTGGTTTGTTTCTACCCTATAAAATGAGCAATTCTACTAGAAGCTGTATTAGTTTCCTAGGGCTGCTGAAGTCCAAGATCAAGGTATCAGCAGGGTGGGTTCCTTCTGAGGGCTATGATAAATAATCTGTTCCATGCCTCTTCCCTAGCTTCTGGTGTTTACTGCCAGTCTTTGGCATTCCTTGGCTTATAGAAACATCGCCCCAATTTCTGCCTTCATCTTCACGTATCATTCTCCCTGTGTGCATGGCTATGTCCAAATTTCCTCTTTTTATTAGGACACCAGGCATACAGGATTAGGGATACACTCTGGAATACTGATCTACTCCAGTATGACCTCATCTTAACCAATTACATCTTCAATGACCCATTTCCAAATAAGGTCACATTCTGAGGGTCATTGAATATGTAATTAGTTACATATTGGTAGTCATATTGGTATTTGGTGGGGACATAATCCACCCCATAACAGTCTGCCCTCTGACCCCTAAAAAGTCATGTCCTTCTCACATGCAAAATACATTCACCCCATCACAACATCCCCAAAAGTCTTAACGCATACCAACATCAACTCTAAGTCTAAAATCTCATCTCTATATCATCTAAATCATGTATGGATGAGATGCAGGGTGATTCATCCTAGGGAAAAATTCTTTTCCATCTGTGAACCTGTGAAACTAGACATGTTATCTGTCCAAAGTACAATGGTGGGACTGACATAAGATAGGCATTGCCCTTCCAAAAGGGAGAAATTGGAAGGAAAAAGGGATCATAGGCCACAAGCAAGTTCTAAACCTAGCAGGGCCAATTCCATTTTATTTTAAGGCTCCAGAATTATCTTCTCTGGCAGGATAATGTATCCTCTGCGACCACCAGAGTGGCGGCCCCACTCAATTGGCCCTGAGTGGTGGCCCTGTATTCTGGAACTGAGGAGATGGCCCTGCCTTCTGGAACTGAAGAAATGGCCTCACCCTCAGGGTCATTCTTCCCTTTTCTTGAAGGATAACACATGATCACAGCTGGGTATCTCTATCAGCTCATTTCCTGACTATAGAATCCCAGAAGTTCAACAGACTTCCTTCATTTTGTCCCACCCATGTCCCTTTCAGTCCAAGCTAGCAGCATGCCTACTGAAATGGTTTATTGGATCCACAAGTCACAAGCCTAATCTCTTGGACAAATGATTGTTCAGCAACATGCTTGGTGTTCTCTCCAGAGCAAGCTTTCTCCTTTTTTACAGTGTAGATAGGCTGAGAATTTTCTAAGTATTGAAGTTCTGGTCCCTTTTTTCTTACAATTCCCTTTTCAACTTCTCTCTCCCCTCTTGTATTTTACTATAAGCAGCAAGGAGAAACCAGTCTGTGCCTTCAACACTTTGCTGAGAAATCTCTTCAGCTAAATATGCACGTTTATCGCATACAAGTTTCAGTTTCCATCCAACATAACACAATTCAGCCAAGTGGTCTGCCACTTTATAACAAGGATCACCTTTCATCCAGTTTCCAATAACACATTCCTCATTTCTTTCTGAGACCTCACCAGAAGCACCTTGTACATTATTTCTAGCAACATTCTGTTCATGACAATAGATGTGTTCTCTAAAACAACAGAAGCTTTCTCTACAGCTCTGTTTTTTTTCTTTCTGAGCCCTCAACAAATTCTCCTTCAAAATTTATATTTCTACCAACATTCTCTTCAAGGCAATATAGGCTTTTTCTATTATGCACCTCAAAGCTCTTTCAGCCTCCACTTAATACCCAATTCCAAAGCCACTACCACATTTTTAATTATTTGTTACAGCAGCACCCCACTTCCTGGTACCAAAATTTGTGTTAGTTTTCTAGAGTTGCTATAATAAAGTACCACAAACTGTGTGGCTTAAAAAACAGAAATTTATTGTCTCACAGTTCCGTAAGCTGGAAGTCCAAGATCAAGGTATCAGCAGGGTAAGTTTCTTTTGAGGGCTGTGAGGAAGAATCTGCCCCATGCCTCCCCCCTAGCATCTGGTGATTTGCTGGTAATCTTTGGTATTCCTTGGCTTAAAGAAACATCAACCCATTCTCTGTCTGTGTCCAAATTCCCCTTTTCATAAGGACATTAGTCAGATTAGGGGTCCACCCTATTCCAGTATGATCTCATCTTAACTAATTACATCTTCAGTTACTCTATATCCAAATAAGGTTACATTCTGAGGTACTGGGGGTTAGGACTTCAATATATGAATTTGACGGGACACAATTCAACCCATAACAGAAGCCCTCTTATCTGCCATGCTCAGCATGGAATAATTGAAAATGAATTTAAAAAGAAAAATAAACATTTTAATTTTTTTATTAAGCATTTTACTTTAATTTAAAATACCATAGCTTACATTTGTTCACCAGTTGTTTAAGCATGGATCTTTCCTACATAAACCTCATCCATTATGAATTGTATATGAGTAACAGTTTTGCTTTCTTCAAAGTGGCAGGAAAACTGAGACACTAATAAAGCAGTAGGAGTACAGAATCATTTTAGATTTTAAGATTTTTTTAAACTCTTTTATAGTAGCTATGCTTAATAGGGCAGCAGTTTTTGGATGTATACTGAGCTTGTATCCAGCAACCTTGATAAATTCACTTATTAATTCTAAGTTTGTAGGGGTTTTTTGGATTTTCTCTGTGCAAATCTTGTAATCTGCAAATACCTGTAGTTTCTTTCTTTCTTTTCAAACATTTTGCTTTTTATTTCTTTTTCTTGCATTACCATACTGGTTAGGACCTCCAGCACAATGTTGAATGGAATTGGTGGTAGAGACCATCTATGTCTCATTTCTTTTTTTTTTTTTAGTGGTCTAAGGACAATTTTTAAAATTTTTTTCACGGCTTTGTTGAGATATAATTGACATATAACATTGGGTAAGTTAAAGATGTACAACATGATGAATTGATACACGTACATATAGCAAAATGATTACTACAATAAGATTAGTTAACACATCCGTCACCTCACATAACTACTATTTTTTTCTTGTAGCAAGAACATTTAAGATTTACTCTCTTAGCAACTTTTAAGTATATGATACAGTATTGTTAACTATAGTTACCATGCTGTATATTAGATCCCCAGAACTTATTCATCTTATAACTGGAAGTTTATACCCTTTGACCAACATCTCCCCATTTCCTCCACCCCTCAGCCCCTGGCAACCACCATTCTG